GGCATCAAAGCCAAGACGTTGGAAGCGAAAACTCCTAAGGAACGCCGTGCCGCTCTGCAAAAGGAGATTGTGAAGCTCTTGGACAATGATGGTGTTGTGAGTGGTGTGAAGAGACCTCAATTGCGTGCCCAAGGGGAACCACAACCTCAGGAGGGGTACACTACGTTGGGAGCGTTTCAACATGGAGGAGTGTTGGGAATCACCAATGCAACGAAAGAGAACCCGGAGCTCACGAGGAAGGTCGCTCAACTGGTTTCGTTGGTGTTCCCGGAGGAAGTGTTTACCTCAGTGACGGTGGTGCGAAATGCGAGGATGCCGGTGCACAAGGACAGCTACAATGACCGGAATACTTACAATTTGGTGATTCCACTTAATGTCACCTCGGATGCTGGCGTTTGGCAAGAACTTCGTCCAGGAGACCCTTTTCAAGGAAGCTATATGCCTATGGAAGTTAAGGGCAAGGAAGTGCCTGGTCAGTTTCAGGCGCTGAAGAACGAAGTGAAGATCAGACCAGACCGCCTTCATTGTGCAGTTCAGCCCAGCGAAGGACCTCGCCTTCTTCTAGCTGCGCATACGGTGGGTGGTTGGAAAAAACTCAAGGCCGAGCAAGTGGAGAGGTTGACTGAGTTGGGATTACAAGTTCCGGATCGTGAAGATGAAGAGTATCTTATAAAAAGGGCAGCTGTTCAGGAACACCAGGAGGCGTCCCGCTCCCAGTGGATGGTGCAGGAAGATGAGTTGGTGTGCAATTTAGATCAGCGAGATTCTTTGGTGGAAATCGATGATGATGTGGCTCGGTGCGCCAAGGCGGCAGCGGAAAATTTGTACACCTACAACATTGAGGAGCTCCTGGAGGGTTTATCTGACGAACTTCGGGTGGTTCATACGGTTCACCCTAAGGAGGTCGACCAGCACCTATCGAACTGGATTGATGCGCTCAAGGCTGAGATGAAGGTATTGCAAGATATCGGGGCCATCAAGCGATTGACGGGCAGCGAAGCGAGGGAGTTTTTGGCCCGTCCTGGAGTTCAGGTGGTACCGGGGAAGGCCGTTTATACGGTCAAGCCACCCTCCAAGGAGGGGGCCAAGTACCGCCGTAAGGCCCGGATCGTCGGATGTGGCAACTTCCAGCCGAGAGATGATCAAGAAGACAACTACTCAGGCGGCGCCGCCGCCGAGGCGGTACGCCTGGGAGTAACCCAAGCAGCGCGAAGGAGATGGGCAATTTGCACTGGTGATGTGGTGAGCGCCTTCCTAAGGGCACCGGTGCCAGATGGCACATTGCTTGCTCTACGTCCCCCCGCAGTTCTGGTGCGGGCAGGACTAGCAGAACCAAGCGAAGTTTGGTCAGTTCACATGGCGTTGTACGGTTTCCGAACTAGTCCGAGATGGTGGGGGACCCACCGTAATAGCACTATGAAGGGGGCTACGACGTCATCAGGCTTGACCTTCGAGCAGGGCACGGCAGACCCTGAAGTTTGGCGTGTTAAGGATACCTCAGGGCAAGTGGTGGGCCTCATCATCGTCTATGTCGACGACTTCTTTATAACAGGACCAAGGCCAGTTTGCGAGGAGGTGTTTTCATGGCTTTCCTCTACATGGGAGACGACACCATGTGCCTATGCTTCTTCTTCATCTTCGGTGCGGTTCCTTGGAATGGAAATACGCGAGGACGTCAACGAGGCGGGAGAGTCAGAGGGGTACACCCTAGATCAGGAGGGGTACCTTGAGGAAGTACTTCGGCACCATGGGGTAAAGAAAGAGGAGAAGTCGCTGCTGCCGGCGACTAAGGAATGGATGTGTTTGAGCCCGGAGTCCTATCCCCCAAGCTACACCAACGAGGAGCTCAAGTTAGCACAGTCCCTGACGGGGGAGTTGGCATGGTTAGGGCAGAGGTGTAGGCCAGACCTGGCCTACGTGGTGAGCATTATGTCGAGCCTCACTACGAAGGACCCCGCAAGGGTGGCTTTGATTGGACGGAAAACCCTCGCCTACTTGAACTACACGCGTGGATGGAAGCTGAGGTTTCGGCCAAGCGAGAAGCCAATCCTGGCCACCTACACCGATAGCTCCTATGCTCC